TCTGTGTTTCAACAACTGTAATTGGCTGTCAGATGGATGAATAGCTTGTGGGAATGAATGTTTGGTCAGAATCTGTTGGACCTCCAGAAAGAGAGTGCATGCTTTCCATTTCTCTGCAGTTAAAGACCCCTCAAGCCTGAAGAAAAAGAGTTTATTTTTCCTCGTTGTACTAAGTCAGGAGCTTAAGTTGTGAACCAGTTATTCTGGACCTCCTGTAAGCAAGTGAAAGCATCTGGAGCAGGAAGATCGAGGATCAGCGACAAAGACCATCTCAGAACCCTCTTGACAGCGGCCATTAAACTGCCTTCCAGTCTCTTCTACCATCCAAAGCACCCATGCTTTATTTGTATGTCTGCCTGTAAGTGTAGGGGAAATTTCATACGAGGGTTGCAGTTTTAACCAGTAGAGTTATATATTGACTATTCCCAATTGCTTACCTGTAGTTGAAATCTGTTTTGTTTTTAATAAATAGTCATCCTTGTCAAGTAGAGAAACTTAGTTTGTACTTGTCAACCTGGGTCTAAAAGACAGGTAAGTTGGGAATATTTAACTTTTATGACAACTCCAGGAGTAGCAGGGCTTGATTTCAGTGTGATACTCCAGAGACAGGTAATAATACAAAGAACCGTTTTGTAGTTGTATTTAAGAGAATTACATGCAACATTGGAACAAAACAGTGTAAGTGAAGACCATTCACAACTCTTAAGAAAAAGGACTTGATTCTCTGGTTAAAATCTGATGTGTTTGAACGTTAGATTGAAAATTCTTCAGTGTTAAATAACTCCAATATCTTGATTGTTCCTTGAGCATTCCTACCTTGACACTTCTGTAACTCCAGTTACAGAGTCTTTGTCAGCCCAATCCTGGGTATTGTCCAGGTCTTGTTGTATTTTGCCATGTATTACTTCAGTATCCGAGGAGTTAAAAATACTGCTGACCATTGTGCAATCATCGCAAGGATCCCCACTTCTGACCTTATGATTGATGGAAGGTCATCGATGAAGAAGGTTGGCTTGGGGCACAACCCTGCTGTGATGTCCTGGATCTTGATCACTGACCTCCAACCACAGCCATCTTCATTTGTGCCAGGTGTGAATCCAATCAGTGGAGAGCTTTCTTCCAATTCCCATTGACTTTAATTTTGCCAGGACTCCTTGAGCCATATTCGTTCCTGACCTGATGAAGGGTCCTGACCCGAAACGTTGAATTTCCTGCTCAGCTGCTGTCTGACCTGCTGCGCACCTCCAGCTCCACAATTTATCACCCCTTCATTCAAATATTGCTTTGATATCAAGTGTAGTTACGCTCCTCCCACCGCTGGCGTTCAGCTCTTTTGTCCAAAGCTGTAGTGAGGTCAGAAGCTGAGTTCTCCTGGCAGAATCCAACTGAGTAACAGTAAGCAGGTTATTAATACACAAGTAATGGTTGGTAACACTGATGTACCTTTCATCACTTTACTGATGATCAAGAATAAATTGATGTGGTGGTAATTGGCTAGATTGGATTCATTCTTTGTTTTGTGTACAAGGCATATCCAGGCAGTTTTCCACATTGCTGGATGGATGCCATTGTTGTAGCTGTACTGGAACAGCGGTGTTTTCAGTCATCTCCTGATAACTGTGTGGAATGAATCAAGTTGAAGACTGGCATCTGTGATGCTGGGAATTTCTGGAGGAGGCTGAGATGGATCATCCAGTCAACAACACCTGGCTGAAAATTGTTGCACATGATTCAACTTTATCTTTGTTCTAATGTGCTGGGCTCTCTCTTCATTCAAGGTAGGGATATTGGTGGAGCCACTGTGCCCAGAGAGTTATTTAATTGTCCACCACCATTCTTGACTGGATGTGGTAGACTGCAGAGCCTACATCAGATTTGTTGATTTTGGAATCCCTTAGCGTTGTCTTCTACTAGTTGCTTAAGATGTTTGGCATACTGTCATCCTGTATTGCTTCATCAGATTGACATTTCAGTTTTTGTGTATGCTTGGTGCTGCTTTTGGCATTTCCTCCTGCACTCTACATTGAACCAGTGTTGATTTCTTCCTTTGATAGTATTGGTAGAGTGGGGGAAAAGCAGGGACATAATATTGCAGAGTGTGTTTGAGTACAGTTACACTGCTGTAGTTTCATATCTGCTATTTAGCGCAGTGGTGGTGCTGCCACACAGCATGGTGGATGGTATCCTGGAAGTGAAGACAGGACTTTGTTTCCACAAGGACAGTCATTCCTGCCAATACTGTCATGGACAGATGTATCTGCAGCAGGCAGATTTGTGAGGATGTCATCAGTTTATTTGTCTCTCTTAGTTAGGCTTGGGTGTTATTCTGAGAAAGTCATGCAGCCAGGAGCTAAGATTATTGGTGAATTGCATTGTTTGAGTTATGACTCCCAACAGTGGAGAGGTTTCACCTTGACTTTGAGTTTTCCTTGGGCTGTTTGGCATCACACTCAGTCAAACGCTGCCTGAATGTCTTAAATACTGTTTAAAAGGTGATTTCTGTATAGTTGAAAATGCTGACAGTTCTCCCCTCTTAATCCTTTAACAATGAGGTTTGGAGAATTTCATAGACTGTGATCACTGACATGAGCAAACTTCAGGTAGACCTTAGCTCATACCTACTGTAACTGCATCTCTCATTTTGAAAGCCCACTGAGCCTTTTGAGGGAAGCAAGTTTTTTTCCAAAATATTTTTCAAAATATTTCAAACATGAGTTTCTTCAATGTCACAATTCTGTAGTCTAGTAATGTATATAATATTTGTGTATGCAGTTTCTAAAAAAAACTGTCAAGAACATATTAATGGATGACCATTTCAAAGTTTGCAGTTTACTTTTGCTTGTATTAAGATACATAAAATACCTAATGAAAGATAAAATACTGTAAATGCTGGATATCTGAAAGAAATAAATAAATGTGCCATAATTGCTTAGGTCAGATGATGTTTCTGGAGAGCAGAAGAGAATTGACGTTAAGGGTTAATGACCTTTATCCTGATTTCACTCTGTATTTGATGGCCTATATGAGGGGTTGGTTTATTTGGTTATGGCCTTTATTATATCCACTAGCTTGTCAAAACTACTACAATTAATGTGTCATAAATAGTTTACAGTAATTTGTCTGTGTGGATATTTTTCTTTCTGTAAATAGCTTAAATTTTTGGTTGTAACACTGGATGCAACTGAACCAGGAATTGTTCCCTTGTGATAGTTAATCTGTTTATCTAATATATTCTCTGTAATATTTAAAGATATAAGCAGAGTAGATTGTTTACATTAATTCCATAATAAGTTGCTGAAATGATTTTACTTTACTATTTTTTTGAAACAAAAACTATAATCTTTAATGAAGTTTTAAAATGGACACAACCTTCTGGGAAATGAATCATGAAGAGATTTCCTATAAAGCTTCAATTGATATTAAGCACCTTGCATGCTTTCAAATGTTCAGATTAAAATAAAATTGTTGTACTAGTGAAGAATATTAGT